CTATGATGTCCTTCAGGTGGGCCGACACCAGTCTTTCAAAGCACTTCATAACTACAGATGTCAGGGCAACAGGTCTGTAGTTGTTCAGTCCACTGATGGGGCTTTTCTTGGGGACTGGGATGATGATGGAGCGTTTGAAGCAGGAGGGGACTTCACACAGCTCCGGTGACCTGTTGAAGATGAGGGCCAGCTGATCAGCACAGGCTTTCAGGCAGGAGGGGGTCACACCATCTGGGCCTGGAGCCTTTCTGATCTTTTGTCTTTTAAAGAGGCCACGCACATCATCAGCAGGCCTGTAGCTCTGACTTAGCCTCCTCAGTCCAGCTCTTCACCGTTTTGACCACAGGCTTTGCAGCTTTAAGTTTCTGCCTGTAGGTTGGAATAAGATGGGCCATACAGTAATCTGAGAGTCCGAGGGCTGCGCGGGGGACAGAGTGATAGGCATCTTTTATTGTTGTGTAGCAGTGGTCCAGTGTGACTTTGTCCCTGGTGGGACAGGTGACGTGCTGTCTGTATTTTGGCAGCCTTACTTACTTACTTATGTACACTCCCATTAGAATGAAACTGTTGAATTCACAGGGGTTTGCAATTGATAACAAGAGTCTCTAGGTCTACGGTACATGTCCTCTGTAGCACTGTGACATCTGTGCACCAGCCTTAATCTATGTAGAAGCAGGTTCCCATCCTCTCGTTTTCCCGGACAGCTGCTTTACACGATCCGCTCTGAACACCTGGAAGCCCGGTATTCGAATCACGCTGTCCGCGATGGAGTCGCTGAGCCAGGTCTCCATGAAGCACAAAGCAGCAGAGCGTGCAAAGTCAGAGTTAGTCCTGTTGACGAGAAGAATTTCATCCATTTTGTTGACCAGGGAGCGGAGATTAGCCAGGTGAATAGATGGGAGTGAGGTCCGTGTTCCCCTCTGTCGTAATCGCACCAAGGCGCCAGAGCATTTTCCACGCAGGCAGCGTCTTTTCCAGGTCCCGTATATCGCTGCTACGCCTCCGATCAGAATGTCCATACAGCATTCATCGTTCACAAAAATCAGAGGAAGGTAGTTTGGTGTGAGTTGTCCGATATTTAACAGTTCTTCTCTGGTAAAACTAATCCTGGATGAGTTGCAAAAGACCAAGAAAACACTTACTCCACATGCAAATGTTAAGTTTCAAACTGAGCTTATAAAAAAAGAAAGATGAAGTGGATCTCTCAGCTCTCTGTGTATAAAGAACTGAGAGATCCACTTTAAAATACCTTATAGAAAGACCTGTTGAAATGTGAAAAACTGTTTGTAAATCAGCAGTAATTATTACTGAAAGATACTAATTGCTCTGAAATTGATTAACCAGTGACCAGTGCAGGTAATGTAACCCACATGTTCGTTGTAATGAAAATTTGCAACATGCTTTGTATTATGTTAAAAAAAGAAATCCAATTAATTTTCTGCATCCATCTCACTCACTGGCAGCACTTCAAATCCAGCAGTGACAGCATTAGGCCATGTTCAGGCAGACATTAAAAACCTCCACCTACCCATTTTATTTTGTTGAGATCACTGGGCCGATAAATAGGGCTCTGGCAAAAAAAAACAAAACAAAAAAAAACAACAAAACAAAACACAGGGTTATACAAGCAGAACATTGAACTAAAGTTTGTCCTAATAGAATGCAACATCATCCAGCAACAGTGCTGCATTTGCAAAGTATGCATTTGGAAATTTGAATTGTGTATTTTTTGTAATAGCTGAGAGGAAGGTTAAAATGATTGAGTTGTACATTTTTGTCTCAGTATATTATGAACAACTATGCAGACTTTTGCCTTCAGCCTTCCCGAATCATATCTCATCCTCCCTTTTTAATGTTTTTTCACAGACTGTACTGGTTTTGGTCTGAACAGCAGATCATAGTGCACAGAAGTCAAAGCAGAGGACAGGTGGGTGGTTGGTTGTACAAAGCACATAGATTGGAATTCTTTCACAGATATGAGAACTTCATTTAACACATTCACAATACATTGTGCTGTAATTTTCATGAATAGCTGTAATCTGGCTTTGTCCACTTGTCTATATGTCCACAGGTATAATGGAAGCTATTGAGCACTGCAGATGTCTGTGAACTGGGTGATATACAGACAAAATGTCCATGACATCCATGACCGTTCAAACACAAAGCTCAGCACAAATGAATAATTACCAGGTGCTACAATAAGAGGCATGGCAATTATAGCTAACAGCCTGAAACCTTTAAATCTCTCCTCAATTGTGTACCTGCACTGTAAGCAGTCTGCTTGGCTCAGTTTCAGTGCAGAGTGGCAGGGGAGAACAAAGGGTTCCCTTGTCTTAGGTCCATTTTCTGTTTGAAGACCAATGTACAACCTGCATCTCAAATGACATCAAAATTTGACATCTCACCTGACCATTTTTGGTTAAGCCTAATAGGAAGCAGAGTCTTTTAGCTTGCTGTCAAACTGAGG